TGGGTGGAATATTAGATTCTTTGTATGTTTTCTAAATGACCTCTTTCAGTGGCTTAAAAATTGAGTAGAAACCCTTATTCAGAACTCTCTCACACCATTTAAACCTACCTTTGTCCATCAGCAATGTGCTGACCCATTTTCAAGGTCTCTATAGTTGCTTGCTGATAAGTGTTAGGGATGTGATCTCGGGTCACTTCTTCATCTGATCTCCTTTTAGTGGTTTTGTTGCACTTGTAATTAGTTGTATGTCTCTTTAGATTATTATTATTTAGAAAGTAATGAAAAGGAAATGCACATGCAATTCTTTGTGCTCATAAATTTCTGGCTTGAACATCATAATTACTTTGTTTTTCTGCCTTAAACCATTTTGTGTGCAAAGATTTCGAATTCCACTGAGGAACACTTTAACACAGTGTTTTTTAACCATGGCAGTTTGAAGATCTATGGATTTTCATACTGGCTGATGAATTCTGGGAATTGACTCTAGCAGGTGATGCTTTGATACCTCTTTGAACCCTGGCACACGTAATTCTTTTTGTTTAAACAACTAGATACCCAAGGGAAAGAAATAAATTAATAGAGCTCCCAGAAGACTACAGCTGCCTTTTGAACCAAGGATCTCAATTTAGGTGAGAACCAGAAGCTCTGCTCATTAGAAACACTTAATATTTCATTGAACTGAATTAAGGATAACTAAAGGATCAATATTTAAGTAGACAACGTCATAATTTTTCTCCTTGCTATTCATTTAAGGATAAGTAGCTTCATTTCATATTGGCAACTAACCCATACCCAAATTATCTTGGTGGAAAGCTCTCCAACAGGAAAACTTTCAAAAAGTGGTGATGGAATTTTTGCCTCCTCCTGTACCATTTTGCTAGACCTAATCAGTGCCCTGGTGTCCTGTTCCAGGTTAACTGGAATGTTACATGGAAGCATTTTTATCAGTCTGGAGATGGATTTTCTTGTATCTCTCAGTGTTGACAACTCTTCTTTTTACATTTTCACATTTACTGAGTAAAGAGTAATGCCCATTGTAAACTTTTCTAAAAACTCTTCCAAGTATTTTGAAAGCATATTTAGGGGTGTAAATATTGATTAGAGATCAACAAGAATCTAAAAAGATCCTAAAAAGAAAATTTATTGTCTTTAAGTACAAAATGAATGGCAGTTATTGCTGAACAGGAAGTCTCACTTCTCTGTATGTCAGATGCCAATGATGAAATTATTATCCTCATAAGATAAGATAACCTTTATTGTCATTTTTTTACTGTGGGCACAACGACACACATCAGAAATGAAATTTAGTTGCCCGCTCTCAAAGTGAAACACATACAAGACACACATTTAAACATACTGTGTACAATATATGTATAGACCCACACCCATATATACATAACAAATAAATATTAAATACTGTCCATCTTGAATATATAATGGAAGAAGGAAGCTTGAGAGCTCACAAGGTTAATACATTCAAACTATGATCTTATACACACTTTTCTCATAGTAAAGTAGAACTTATTGTATTTATAGAACTGGCCACCCTATTTCGATGGTACCCTGAGTGTAATATTGCAAAAAAAAAAATATATAAAGATGCTTATGTGATATGTTTTTTTAAATTATATAAGATCCAGTATTTGGAAAATATTATTGCCCCTGAAGTTCAGTAAATAATATTGGTTAAGAAGATAATTCATAATATCAATGTTTTTTTAATATTCAAAATGCATGAGATGCTTTGCAAATTTAACTTCAGAAGTACTTCATTACTATATCTGTTATTTAGTTGTTATAACTGCTATCCAATTTAAATCACATTTTATAGACTGAAAAGACTGTGTTCAAGACCATTTCTTAAGGCTTCAATTGATTTTTAATTTGAAATTATGACTATGTTCAGTCATAATGTCAAATCATGGATTATGCTTTACATGAAAAAATTCTGTACCATAGTTTGAGTGTAGAGTCAATGCACAGTTTATCCCAGACATTTTCTTCCCATTTTGACAAGTTTCAGCTTTATAAATGGGAGAAGCACATTTCTACCTTGGTCTTTTAGCAGAGATATCACTAGCTACATGTGCAAAAGTCTCTCTAAATCAGTGTTTCTCAACCTTGACAATTTTAAGGCATGTGGACTTCAACTCCCAGAATTCCACAGCCAGCATTGCTGGCTGTGGAATTCTGGGAGTTGAAGTCCACATGCCTTAAAATTGTCAAGGTTGAGAAACACTGCTCTAAATCAAGAGAGATCTTGGGTTTGTTTTTGTTTTATGATCTGTGAATCCAAACATAATAAGAAAATAAATCAACATATTATATGGCTGAATTTTCAATCCAGTTTGAAATTGAACTTTCAGATTCTATCTAATTTGCTAGTCCCAGATTTCTATGTGAACATTCTAACGTTTGAATATTAAAGCAAACTTTAATACATCTATTCATACATCTAAAACTGTCCCATGTTTCTTAGGTATAAGTCTATATTAACAGTACAAAACTGTTTGGAACTAGCTAGTTTCATTTTCCATTGTAGCTGATTTCTTTGCACTGAAATATAACAATGCTGAAAAGTACATTTTATTATCTACCTTCTAATTTCTGGTTGTACGAATATTAGCAACCAAAATAGTGTTTGTTGATGATTTGGCACTATACTTAGAAGAGCACTTTTCAAAATAGCCATCTTGGTTCCAAATCTCATTGTGTAATTAACTTTACCTGTCCAGGTGCCCTCGATCTTCTGATGATGAAACCAAACATCCTGTCCTATGTTTGTTTTGTGGGGCTATGTTGTGTTCTCAAAACACCTGCTGCCAAGTGCTAGTAAATGGAGAAGAGCTGGGGGCTTGCAATTCACATGCGGTTTCATGTGGTGCTGGAGTTTGCATTTTTCTCAAGTAAGTGATAGCTGGAAAATAAAACTAATCTAAACTAATTGGGGCATGGTGATGGATTCCCAATTTTGTGTGTGCCAGATATATTGGAGAATAGCACCCATAACTCAGATGCCAGTTCAAGGAAAGAAGTTGGTAAAAATAATTCTTCTGCTTTCTTTTATTTGTGAAGAGATAAGCGGTCAGATTAGATTAGTTAACAAAGCCTGGAATGATCCCTGAAATTGGATTGTGTCCTCAGTAAAAAGGAACCTTAGAGCAGGGGTCCCCAACCCCCAGTCCGTGGACCAGTACTGGGCTGCAGCATGCCAGCAACTGGTCCGCACAAACAAGAAAACCCCATCCACGGAATGCAGGCAGCACACAAAACCTCATCCCCTCCAGTCTGCGGAAAAACCTCTCTCCTCAGAACCGGTCCCTGGTGCCCAAAAAGTTGGGGACCTCTGCCTTAGAGCAATGTTTCTCAACTTAGCAACTTTAAGATTTCTGGACTTCAAGTCCTAGAATTCCCAGCTAGCCTAGGTGACTGGAGAATTCTGGGAGTTGAACTCCAGACATCTTAAAGTTGTCAAGGTTGAGAAACCCTGCCTTACAGTATTTGGAGAAGAGATCAGTGCTTAATTTTGGGTGAGGGAGAGTGATTGCTCATGTCATAACTCCCCCCACTTAACAAGACTATGATCCTTGGGAATAGTGAAACGGGTACATATGCTAGCAGAGAAAAATAAGTTGGAAACACTTTTTCCGTAGACTTTCTCTAGATATGATCGACTTTTTTTGCACATTCTTAATATTTTGTACTAAGCCTGCCAGCAAATTTCTGTTGATTTTCAGTTTTTTTTTCTATTTTCTCCTTAAGAATCAGAGACTGCAGGGTTCTGCTGATTGGTGGCAAAAATAGAGGTTCTTTCTATCCTGCGCCATATTTAGATGAATATGGAGAAACTGATCCAAATCTGATGTAAGTTTCTGTTTTGCTCTTTGTCTTGTAAGAAGCTCTATCTTCACTGAGTGAGTTTTTTGAATTAATTGGCCTGAATGGCCACTTCCAACTCTATAATTCTTTCATGCTGGGGTATGTACCTGAGCAGGTCAAATAAAATGCTGCTAAATATTATTTTTTTAAACCCTAATAATTGTATTTTTATTTCTCTTTGAAGAAGAGGCAATCCTCTGCACCTGTGTCATGAACGATACCGGAAGCTCCACTTGTTATGGCGACAACACTGCATCATAGAAGAAATTGCTCGAAGCCAGGAAACCAATCATGTGTTTTTGGGATTTAATTGGCACCTGCTCTGAGTTTCAAGCTCATTGAGACTAAATTGCCAACACCTCACTTGTAAAACATCACACAAAGAATATGAAGAATCTTAGTTTAAGGGAAAATGACTAACCCACATCTGCATACTGAAACTTGTGGGCTTGAATTTGGTTAGGAAAAAAAATGCATGCATACAACTTCCCAGATATAAATGCTAAATGATCAAAAGCAGAACTGTCTGGATCATCAATAAGCTGACTTTTCCCACTTATCCAAATTAAAAACAGTTAACAGTATTTTCATTCTTTTGCAGCAGCGGTTCTAAATATATATGTAGTTTTCAATGCATCTGGATATAAGAACAAAGTGATTTAATCTCCTCTTACCACGTTAGTTGCTTCTGTTTCCTTTTTTAGTATAGCAGGTCTCAAAATAAGTGTAATCTGTAAACAGCTTTGTCCATGATTTATCTTTGGGTGCAGCATTATAACAACCTGAGGGTGAAGCACTACACAAAGTATAAGAGCAAAGTATGCTGGAAAGGAAGTTAATATTTATTGTGAATCCTTTCAGAATGAGAATGTGTTCGTGCAGGTTAATTTTGTTAATTCTGAGAGCTTCCAGTTAGCTTTAATGTATATCAAAAATTAAATGCTTTGCTCTTGGCGTATCCCAAAATGGGAAGGAACTGTACTGCAGGAAAACAGGAATAGGGAAAAAAAAACATTTGTTATTGCAAGTAATCTTTACTTGTATTGCCCAACAAATTTCAGACTAAATTAGTTCTTAAGGGAGATTAAAAATCTATATTATACATTATTGTTATACAAAAATAATGAATACATTATTCAGAAGGTACCGTCATAACCTCATATCTACCACACGTAGTCTAATAACATTTTATACTGTATGCAACAAACATAACAATACTTCAAATAATATTTGTAAAATAGTAAGGTTATTCATAAAATAATTCATAAAACAAAATCCATGCTAAAAGGAGTCCTTAATATATGTACCAAATGTTATATTGTAACGTAAATTTAAACATTACCTACTTTCTTCTTTTAAAAACACAATAAAAAATAAATAAAAGGAGATTTTTCTTTTCTGTTTGTGCCTGTAATACAAACTCAATTTTTTTCTCATTCCCAGATAAAAAGATGCCTACTGTTGATTTTCTGGCCAATGCTAATCTAAGTAATAAAAACATTAAATTAGTTCATAGGAACTTAAGAAAAATAAGAGAGAAAGGAACATCTCTATAAGGCCACCTAACTCAATATGGATTCTGACTGGCATACAAATTTTGAATGGGACATGAAGTATACCTGCTCTGTAGGATCTTGCAGGATGGAAGAGAAACTGTTCCTTAAAGAAAAAAGAACAAAGAAAAGGCAGAGAACATATCAAGGCCTCGGTTTTGACATATCTTCTTTGCCTCAGAGCTTGCCATGGCCCATTAACTATGACTATAAGAATCCTGTGTTAAAAAAAGCAGCACAGATTTTAGAAATTTCTCCAGTAAATTCATGCTCATTTCTCATGCTCATTCAGGCTTATTTCCCAAGGGTCTGACAGAACATACACAGCAGAGATGTAGTTCAAATGACAGTATCTTCAGTGCAGCTCACACATGAGGCTGTGAAATATTGGAAAAAAGCATTAAATGAGGCAAGTCAACACATGTAAATCAGTTGCTGGATTTTGTACGTGCTGAAAGCTAGGTTTTCAATGGCTCAGGGATTTTTTACTCACAATTGCTTTTTTTTTCGTTTTCCAGTAATATGTTAAAAAATATGGCCCTTGAATGTAAGGGGTAATTTCCACGCATAGCAAGATTGAAAAGTAGTGTTTTTATAATTGCATTCCATATATAGAAAAAATAATACTAGAAATCTTCATTAAATTATTTCTGTATCAAAGCAGATGCTACTGCATCTTTCGTATTTGTCTTGCTAATGTCATCGCTGACTTTTGATTAATAATTTGAACAAAAATTGCAACTTCTTGAATCTGTTTTTGTTGAAAAAGATTTCTCTTATCTCTAAAAAACAAACTCTCTTGGCCTGATGACCCCTTTAGTGGAAAGCTAGGACTAGGGCTGTACTACATGCCTTTTTAATTACCATCAGGGTTTGTTTGTTTTTTTGTTTTGATATTTTTATCCCAACTTTTATCCCATATATAATTCAAGGCAGTGAACATAATGTTCTACGGATAAATACTTTAATTTTACAAAGTATATTTAGGTAGATTTCTTACTAAGTATAGTTATTTGATTCTGAATATATTCTGCTTAAACAAAATGCTCAAATGAATCAGTCATATTTACAAATTTCCCACAACTTGTAAGCAACAGATGGCCAAGGAGAAATTGGCAATGAATTATAGTTTTCCTTCTTCCCAACCCTGGATTAGATGCTCATAGTAGTGCAAGTGACATAAATCAATAGTAATTCCTCTGAAATGTTATTCTTTATACTTGATATCCCAGATATTCACTGATACTCAAAATTTACATAAGAAGAGTTACCATGTTTATAAATACTATTTCGAACACTGTGCTCAAAACTGTTTTTGTTTAAACCTGTCTGATGATGATGGCCTTTCAAGAGTTGCAACCACCTTAACAGTTACCAGTCCACTCACTGTTAGGATTATTCCCAGAGTACCAAACGCTGCTTTGGACTCCTCTTACTCTGTTATTGGTCCAACACCATCTCTTTAAGGATTGAGAGTCAAAATGGGTTGCTAAGGTGGGGAGGAACCAAAGCAAGCAAGCAAACTCATATATTGTATGGCACAGCCATGGCATAGCACATCGCACAAACCAATTGCCATGTTACTTATACATTATGATGCAGTTGTCAAGTCTTTAGTATTACATTCAATTAAGCTGCAGGGATATATTTGGGAAGAGTATTTTCTGAATTATGGTTTGCAGTGTGAACATCCATATTAGAATTATCCAAAACACTGGATACTTTGCTCCCTTTGCCAAGATGTTTAATTTTGTTGATGTTCCATATGGCAGTTTCCACAAAACTGTTTTCAAATAACCAGCCATCGGAATCACAGAGTGGATCCGCCTGTAGAAGAAGGTTCCTCATTGATGTTTGAAGATAACGAACCCCAATGAGGACCAGTAGCTGAAAAAAAGTAATCCAAATGAACAGAACATTAGAGAATTGCGATTCCACTAATTACATATAGTGCACCACAACACAGAATTTAAGAGTTTGGTGATGATGACCACCATGTGCCTGAATTTTTAAATATTTGGACCAGTTAGTTTATTTGGTGTGAAAAACTTTAACTCACAGTTAAATTGGGGCACTTTTGAAAATATGAAGAGTCCTGTTTTCTAACCAGAAGGATTTGAGCTAATCCTTTCCTTCTGAATTCATTTTTCACCAAGCTGAATGGTACTGAAACATGTAACATGTCATTCTTTCCTCCTGATTCATTCTGCTTGGCACTCTCTTGCTCTTTCTTTACACAAAACTGTTTCACTATTGGATTGTTGTTGTTTGCTTTTGAGAAATACGTAATTCTTAACACCTTTGGCTACAGTTTCCCAGTGTTGCTAAAGAATATTTACTGAATATATGCACTAGAGACCATTTAAGACATTCATGGTGCAACCTTTAAATCTCACTAGCAGTGGCACTGCCAAGACTGAGCTTGTAGATTGTATGAACATAACTTTGAAGAAGAAAGTCATTACATAAACATTAGCCTTGGAAGGGGGGAGTGAGTGAGGAAAAAAATCAAGATTACCTCACCTTAATTCTCTGCTGTGAGAAGTGGGTGAAAAGGGAAGGAATCTATGTCAAGCTTTTAAGAGAACCAAGGCTTCACAGTTTAACCCTGGGCTACATATAGTCTCTTCTATTGGCATCACTTTTGGTAGTATCAGGCCTAAAAAGCTATAGTAATCACAGCCTTCCATTAAGGAAGATAATGGACTATAGTTGCTCTTGCTATTAAAATGCTGTGAGAAGTGGGTGAAAAGGGAAGGAATCTATGTCAAGCTTTTAAGAGAACCAATGCTTCACAGTTTAACTCTGGGCTACATATATTCTCTTCTGTTGGTATCACTTATTTTTGGTAGTATCAGGCCTAAAAAGCTATAGTAATCACAGCCTTCCATTAAGGAAGATAATGGACTATAGTTGCTCTTGCTATTAAAATGTAATTTCTTAAAATGCCCATTAATCTGTTTAATTTTCCCTCTAAACAATCTGGAATAATTGATGATGGAAACTATAAAAAAGCAGAAAGGTAACATTCCTTATTCTATTTTATTCTGTTTTCTAATTTTTTCCAGATTAGTAGTTCAGAAAATAGTTTCAAACATCCTTGAAATGCTACTATAGATAAAATATTTTCATTCAAACTATCTTTTTTTTCACTTGCTTAGATCAGTAGGTTTCAATGAATAAGAACTTTGCTTTTATGTGCTATAGCACAAAATCAAAAACTGTTCCATACCATTTCTGATGCCTGGAAGAGACCTGATGTGTAAGCTTTCTTCCCAGATGCCAATTTGCTTTTCAGAGAATTTAATTTAAGAGTTTGATCCCAGTCTCTTATCATAAACATACATACTTGTATGGAAAACTGGATTCAAACAATGCAGTATATTTAGTAGGATGGGGGAGGGGAGAAGAGTTCCTGTTTTAATTTTATTTTAATTGCAATTGCAAATTGCTCTTGAAAAGATTATATGCATTCAGCAATATTTTTAGTGGTATGTCTCTTCCTCACCAATCATTCCATAGTAAGTTGTTCCTTCTTTTGACAAATTGTACATTTATGAAAGGAACACTTCAGTAAATGTGGTTTTACCTCAAATACCCAAACGATGAACGTGATGATGCCAATGGAACTCATGATGTCAGTGTAATAATCCAGAAGGGCTTCCCTGCATCCTTTCATCCAGATATTAAGTTCTTCTGTCATAACATCATAACGGTAGTGAGCAGTGTTGTTGGTGAGCTGGTACTGGATACATGGTCGGGGCGAGTTTGGATTGCAACAACTGAAGGGGACTCCATCCACCAAGAATTTCCCATCAATATTACTTTTTAGACGACTGCAATAAGATGCGGGGTGTGAGGAAGAGAGTTGTGTAAAAATGGCTAATAATTCGGACAAGAGAATTAAAATTTACTGATTCACTGCATTTTGTTGGAAGGAAAAGTTTGGTTGCTTTCTAGAGGTCTCTAAATTAACCACTTAGATATTGTATGAGTTCAGATCGACCTTCCCTGCAGAAATGCATAAGAGGCATGTTCTATTTTGTAGAGATGTCATCTTCTGATGGTAGATTTGAACTCAAACACTGTATATACCAGATGGTTATAATTTTGCCTAAAGTGGTTAGCAAAGGAGGAAATGATTTTCTCCTGTTGTTGCAGAGGAACCCAAATACAAGCAACATTGAGGGAGAAAGAAGAGATTGATAAGAGAAATAGTTCTGAAATCAGGTGGATTGCCCACAGATCTAACTCCTAGCAGATCATAAGGGACTGCTGTCACGTGATACTTGTGTTCTGTTTAGGACAAAGGCTTACACTTCCCCTTAGGCATATGTTTCTAATTAGAATCTTAATATCACAAAATTGCATGTATAGAGAAGTACAATTGCTGAAAACCGGCAGCACACTTTCCTACCATTTTCAATCAGGAAGCATTCAAAAACCATTGTAGATTACAACTACAGTGTAATTCCTAAACTAGTTTGAATGTACTTTTAAAAAAAAAAGTCTTTAAAAAAATCTCATCAAAAACTTGACCTCTCCCTTGGAACCCCCCCCCCCCCAAAAACAGCTAATGGTCAAAATAGGCTGCTTAAAATGATAGGTTTTACTTTATGTTATAGAACAGTGTTTCTTTGAAGGAAAAAAATACTTTCATGCTAAAATTAATTGCTAAATTATTAAACATAGTGGTTTAGAAAAGACAGCTTTCATCATTCCATTTTTACTCTGATTTGGAAGACGTTCTAGAGATCATGTACTGTAATTTAGTGAAGAGAATTCTCTGCCTAAATTAGGCTACCAAAAAGAGGTGAAGGTAATCTGCAGGCCCCTTTCTAGGTTACTACTGAACTGTTATTCTTAATATGATGGAAAGGATAAACTATTAAATGCATGGTAAGGTAATCATACAAAATATATTCATTTACTTTAAATTAAATTTAGTATTGTCCTGGCCCTGCCCTATACATCCTGGTCCTATCTGTTTTTGGAGTACTTCTCTCTAGCTTGCTGTACAAAAATAAGAGCGGCCCTTGATGTGAGAATATTCCGCATCCATAATGCAATCCAATATTTTGCTCAATTTTGAATTTTCAATGCTGGATATATCTACAGATAACTCAATACTTCAGGTAAAGTAGAGATACTACTATGGAAAGGACTGAGATTTATTATTGAACAGTTTGCCATGTTTCAGAAACCTTGCCTCTCAGATGATTCTTCTAATGTTAAAGCCAAGTTGGTTTCTTACCATTTCCACCCACTGGCCTAGACTTGCCCTCTTGAACAAATGAGAAATCTGCTCCATATTTGAGATGACATCCCTCAGTTATTTGACAGTACTGTACTGTATTTTCTCTCCATAACTTTTCTCAAGCAAAACACATGCCTTTCAGGCTCCTCATCATCTAGTTCAGGGGTCCCCAAACCCCAGGCTACAGCCCACTACCAGGCTGCGGCCTATTTGGAACTGGGCCACGCAAGTTGCAGACTAGCGCACGTGCATGCAATTCCACTCGTACAAGTAGCGGGCTGATGTACATGTGCATGCATGCTGGCCTACCACTTATGCAAGTGGAGCTCCATGTGTGCCGGCCCGCCACTCATGCAGCCAGGTTCCCCTCCATCCCAGCCAGACCACCAAGCCGCAAATATTGGGGACCGCTGATCTAGTTGGGTCTCCTTGATCCTGTTGAAGCCTAGGTTCAAGCTTATTTTATCAGAGGACATTAATACTTACTCTAGAACATCCTCTGAAGTCATATCCAGATAACGAGGTGATACCCACTGAATTTCAAACCAATCCCTAAAACCATTGTTTCCACAGCACTGGAATCTGATCTGCAAAGTGTCTATAGTTCTCTTCAAAAAGCATCTTCCAGGAATGTCTGTATCTTTGTAGAATTTAATAGCATTTCCCAATCCCAGATATAGAGATTCTTCCAATTCATTTCTCATAGTATAGCACATAATAGCACCCACAAAGATGTAGAAGGTAAAACAGAGAGTGCATACAATATAAGGGAGCATGATCAGCTTCCAGCGGTTAAATTTATTGGCATCCGTGCAGTCATAACATATTTTACCTCCAAAAAAGTTGATCATGCAAACTATGGCTCCAATAGAAATTAAAGTATTTGGAACAGAGTTAATATCCCATTTCGCTATCACCTCCTTGCGTTTTCTTATTTCGATCTTTAGGAAGAGTCCAAGGCTGAACACAACTGCACCAGATATCACAGAAAACCAATTGAGAATCCATAGGATTTGAGCCAGTTTGTCTCGTTTGGTTTTGGTGAATTTTACTTTAAGAATGGCCATGGTCACTATAGCATTAGGAGAAGAAGCTTTGTTCAGGAAAATCTTCTAATCAGATTATCAAAGTGTGTTCAGAGTTATCAAAGTCATATAACAGAAGCCTATGAGACAGAAAAAAGGACAGATTATTGCCTCTTCATGTGCATTTATGTAAAACATATGAATCTGTTTATTATTTGGAGGTAATCCTCACTCAATTTAATGAAAGCATACTCCCACATTAGTATTTAGTTGCTTAATCTGTTCCATTGATTCCAAATAGATTGACCAATGACTTAACTTTCAAAGACTTGGAACCCTGATGTACAAAGATAGCGTACATTATATTTAAAGGGTAATTTAGTGATGTAACTAAATTGAAATTTCCATCTGGTGTTCATACCAGGTCAGGTTAGCCCAACCTAACCTAATCTTTTCCACATTTAAGAGACAATTTAATTAGAACAAAATACATATTGCATAAAATCATGCTTAAAAGCGCAATCCAACTTTACAGCTGTTGTTGATGCCTGGGGAGGTAGAGTTGGAATTGCATAACTTCTGACTTTCTGTTAGTTGCTGTGTTGAGAGACCTGCTGGGAGATGGGGGAGGAATGAAGAAAAAACTCAGGACAGCAACCACTACTACTCCTAGACAGATAGAAAATGATCGCTTTAAAAAAAATACAGATATACATTAAATCAAAGACAAAGCATCGTACGTGATCTATTTCCTTTCCAGGGACTGAAAAAATTTAAGATCTCACGCGTGTCAAACATTCTTCAGACTTTGTACAGGGATCCACACAATCACCCAAATAAATGAGCCAAATTCTGGATTTAAAAAATCAGTATATTTTGCATTTTCAGATATTCCTGTCATCTCATTGTCTTTCCATACAACTACTTTGGTCACCACGATATAAAAAAGATGCTGAGACTCTAGAAAGAGTACAGAGAAGAGCAACAAAGATGATTAGGGAACTGGAGGCTAAAACATATAAGGAACGGTTGTTGGAATTGGATATGTCTAGTTTAATGAAGAGAAGGATGAGGGGACATGATAGCAGTGTTCCAATATCTCAGGGGCTGCCATAAAGAAGAGGGAGTCAAGCTATTCTCTAAAGCACCTGAAGGCAGGACAAGAAGCAATGGATGGAAACTAACCAAAGAGAGAAGCAACCTAGAACTAAGGAGGAATTTCCTGGCAGTTAGAACAGTTAACCAGTGGAACAACCTGCCTCCAGAAGCTGTGAATGCTCCAACACTGGACGTTTTTAAGAAGAGACTGAACAGGCATTTGCCTGAAATGGTATAGAGTTTTCTGCCTGAGCAGGGGGTTGGACTAGATGACCACCAAGTCCCTTCCAACTTTATTATTGTTGTTGTTGTTGTTTTGTTGTTCTTGTATTACTGTAGCTGAATATAGAAAGATGAAGTTGCACAAATCTCAGATAGTGATGAATCACCATACAATGCTTAATAGTGTAGTAATTTGATTTCTTTGAATCCCTGTGATCACAAATATTCAGTGATAATTATTGCTTTTGTGCATCTGCCAAGAAAATTTTTATGGGCATGTCCATGTAGCTATTAGATTAGCTCAACTTGAGGTAGTGTTTATATACATGCATTCGTACATATATATATACATATTCACGCACTCACACAGAAATGCACATAGAGATATGCTGATTATTTCTAGGGCAACATAACAGGAGCACGGGTATAGTAGTAAGTGGTCCTGTATGTAATTTGGTCATAAGCTCTTTCTTAATACCTAGAATTGAGAAGTGTATTATACACAGTGGTTCCATGCAAAAAGGTCGTGAGCTGATGAGTGAGCCAATGAAATATGAATAATAGTATTCAAAAAATAAGTATACAGGTTGGAACTGCATTTTGCAAAAAGATATTGCAAAGCTAGCCAATAGTTTTGTTCAGTCAGTAACAGCAAGGAGAGGGCAGAACTTTCCCAGAATTCCCATTAGAAAACCTCCAACAGGATGGTTGACTGAGACCACCTGACCAAACATGCAATGTTGTGTCTTGGAGTTCAGCGGTTGGAAATAAAGACGCTCTGCCTATTGACTAATGTCAAAGAGTCATGCTAGTGAAAAGCCTGAACAGCGACGATAAAGGAACAATGGAGAATAAAAAATGAGTGATAACATTCTTGACCGTTACAACTGTAGGTAAGAACATGAACACCCATAAAATGCCTCTGGCATAAAATTTCTTGCAGCCTTTAGGCCAGCAGTTTGGTCTGAAAATGGGCAGCCTGGGCTTTCATGAAAAAATGCTAATTTCTCTAAATGGTCCGACTTCAGCCAATAAGGAGTAGACTTCTCTGCAAAAGAAGCAGCTGATTTAAAGAACCTTGTGTAGTTACTAGCATTTTTTTTTTCTTTCTAGTCCTTTCCCGTAAGTGCACGATCCATCTTTTTTCTTTGCTGGATCAACTGAGTGTTGATCATTGGTTGAGACAAAAATGGACTGACTGACTTGTCTCTTGAGCCTGTATTGTGGGTTGAGAGAGAGAGAGAGAGAGTGACTGGCCCAAATTTACCTAGACGATTTTCATGGCTAAGGCAAATGGGCTACAAAAATCCAGAATTGCACTAGGTGGCAATAAGGTTGCTTTCCTGCCCTGCTCAGTACCATTTAATCATCATAAAGATTTTACATCCATATGAGGAAACCCTGAGTTCTGAACCCAGGATATTGGGAAACTTGTTCACAAAGTTTATCTAGTTCTGGTAACCAATCAAAATGTTCAGTCATTTGAACTCTGAAGAATTCTTGGACAGTCTTTTACACTCCTCTGTACTCCCAGAGGAAAGCGGTGGGGATTATTCTTCTGCCAAAAGACTCAGAAAGCCTTGAAAGACAAGTACAGTGGTGGGGAAAAACTCAATTCCATCTCAGGTCCAATATGAATTCTTGCTATCATATAGCTTATGTAAAACTGGGCATTTTCTAAGAAGCACACAGGGCAACGTGAGAATTCATAGAAATGGACAGCTCCTTAATTAGGAGACAATATGAAAGTATAATATGACTTCAAAAAGTGCTTAAAAATTCCATGCCAAGGTGCAAGGATCAGTCTATAAACAATGAAGAAAAGGTATGTTTTTGTCTTCCTGCAGATAATGCAAATGCATTCCCCCCCCCTTTTTTAAAAAGGCTACAGTATTTTGCAATCTAATTGGGTACCTGATATTTAAAACTGGTTAGAAATTCTGGAAGAAACACTCTGAAAAGGAGGGAACAAAGCTAGGAGAATCCCTGTTATATGACTATTTACAAAATCAGCAACAAAATTAACTGCTATTATATGTTTTGAAGTCAGGGGTAAGGCAGAACAATTAAAAACAAAACAAAACAAAACTCACATGAGTGTACTTTCTGTAGATAAATGTCTAGTTTGTAATGTACTATGGCTATCAGAATATAGTGTATCGAGAGTTAATTGTTCTGATCTTTCAGTATATCTCCCCCGTTTTGTAAAGACATATATGGTAGTCTACAATGGGAGAGTGAGGATAACTGGGAGGAAAAACTATTTACTAGATCCATGATAAAAACAATATCTTAACTACCAGGCAATAGTTATTTTATGATGGCTTTCAATTGTAGCAAGTTTTCAAAACATTTGAAACAAATTGTAGCTGCCCCTGCCTTCTTCTAGAGGTCCATCAAACCCTCACCCTCCTTGCCTTCCAGTAGGCCTTGAATGACTGGCTCTTCCCACAAGCGTTGCAATAGAATGAAGGTAAACTCACAAGATAATAATGATGATGATGACGATGATGATGATAAAGTTGGAAGGGACCTTGGAGGTCATCTACTCCAACCCCCTGCTCAGGCAGGAAACCCTATACCATTTCGGACAAATGGCTGTCCAGTCTCTTCTTAAAAATGTCCAGTGTTGGAGCATTCACTGCTTCAGGAGGCAGGTTGTTCCACTGGTTAATTGTTCTAACTGTCAGGAAGTTTCTCCTTAGTTCTAGGTTGCTTCTCTCTTTGGTTAGTTTCCATCCATTGCTTCTTGTCCTGCCTTCAGGCGCTTTGGAAAATACCTCGACACTCTCTTCTTTGTGACAGTCCCTGAGATATTGGAACACTGCTATCATGTCCCCCCTTGTCCTTCTCTTTGTTAAACTAGACATACCCAATTCCAGCAACCGTTCCTTATATATTTTAGCCCCTAATCGTCTTTGTTGGTCTTCTCTGTACTCTTTCTAGAGTCTCAACATCTTTTTTACATCATGGTGACCAAAACTGGATGCAGTATTCCAAGTGTGGCCTTACCAAGGCATTGTAAAGTGGTATTAATACTTCACGTGATCTTGATTCTATCCCTCTGTTAATGCAGCCTAGCACTGTGTTGGCTTTTTTGGCAACTGCAGCACACTGCTGGCTCATATTTAAATGATTGTCCACTAGGACTCCGAGATCCCTCTCACAGTTACTACTATTGAGCAAGGTACCCCCTGTACTATACCTGTCCATTTGGTTTTTCTTGCCTAAATGTAGAACCTTACTTTTTTCACCATTGAATTTCATTTTCTTACAATAGCGCCCAGTGTTCAAGTCTGTCCAGATTCTCCTGTATCCTAAGCCTGTCTTCTGGAGTGTTGGCTATTCCTGCCAGCTTGGTGTTGTCTGCAAATTTGATGAGTTCCCCATCTATCCCCTCGTCCAAATAGTTGATGAAGATGTTGAAGAGTACTGGGCCCAGAACAGAGCCCTGGGGCACCCCATTACACACTTCCCTCCATGTAGATGTGGTTCCATTGAGGACCACATGCTGAGTACGGCCAGTCAGCCAGCTATGGATTCATCTGATGGTGATGCTGTCTAACCTGCATTTTTCTATCTTATCAAGTAGTAGGTTGTGATCTACTTTATCAAATGCCTTACTGAAGTCCAAGTAAATTATATCCACAGCATTCCTCTGGTCCACTAATTTTGTCACTTGGTCAAAGAATGCAATAAGATTTGTCTGGCATGATCTATTTTTGACAAACCCATGTTGGCTTTTAGTAATGACTTTGTTTGCCTGTAGGTGTTCGCTGATTCGTTGTTTGATTATCTTTTCCAGAATCTTCCAGGTATT